GAGCAGGAGATAGATGATAGATAGATAGATAGATAGATAGATAGATAGATAGATAGATAAACAAGCAGAAGACAGCCAAACAGACAGATAGATAGCAAGAGATAGGCAGACAGAGAGACAGACATTCATTAGAATAAATCAGAGTGTATTAATTTTTTGAGAAAGCTAAATAAATAATCTCTGAAACTACTTTTCTCATGCAGAGTCTTCACCTGTTCAATTTAAGAAAAGCATGTCAGAGAATACAACAGCGCAATCACAAAGATGTGTATCTGAGGGCTTGCAGTCTGTTATCAAAAACCGAACAACGTTTTTAGAAAGATTTTACAAGCAGGAAGAGATGCAGGATATCAGAAGAAAACCACTAGACACTGCTCATCCCTCCCTACAACAGGTTTGTTTAATATCTTTACTTTACTAAAGGGTGTTGGGCAAATAGTAAAACAGCAATAGAAGAACTGCTGAAATGTACAATAGAATAAAGTTAAACTTTCAGTAACTTCAAAGACCTGCTATGAAACAAATAGTAAAATGTGCTCCAAGATATAAATATGTAATCTTATACTTACAGGTCAATAAACCCACTGACTCAAGGCGGCTTATGCGTTAAGTGGAAATATAATCAGACAAAGGAATGATGTATAAAAATGCAAAAATAATGATTGCTCACTTAATTCTCTCAGAAATAGAACTGTTTTAGTCTGTCATGCAAAAGAAACAAGAAGTCACAGACCCTGTATGAATCAGAAACCACAAGACGTGTCTAATAAAAAAGGATGCGGATAGTTCGGCCATTATTTTAGAAAAAAAAACATAGGACTTAAGTATGTAAGCTATTTTTCACTGGAGATAAATTTTACTGAAAACTTTGTTTTCAAATCTGAAAATGCACTCACCTCTCAATTTTGCAGAAGGTCTTCATTTAAAAAGTTGTTTTCTAACTACAAAGCTATTTAACTAAATTTTATTTGCTCTAAATGCTTTTTAAAAATGGATTCTTGACTCCCTCTCCCAACTTTGTGCTTTAGTATTATTGGTTGCAAAACAACATACTACTTTTAAAGAACAATGGATGTTGCTAATAAGAATTAAGAGATATTTATCCAAGCAATTTAAGTACTGAATTGACAATGAGTCTGCTGCTTTCTTTCCTCCTCAAATAAATTGTTTATTTAAAACAGGGGTGCCAAAAATGAGACACAGGACATTCCTTCAGATACTTAAAGTACCCCTTGGTGCTCTCTGAGCTTGCTTGAGGACATTTCATTATCCTAACTAGATAACACTAGCACTGATGATGTTACCTACCCATAGTTAGGGTAATGAAACATCTGCAAGAAAACAAGCAAGCTCAGAGAATATCAAGGACCTCTTATTTTCAACCTTGAGCTATAAATATTCTCCTTTATTGGTACTTAAAGTACTTATTTTACCTGTTAACCTAATCAGCATACCCAGTTGGTTAGGATTGGGGACTAGCTAGGCATGGTTTTTTTCTTGCAAATGTGTCACAGCCAAACTAGGTAACATCACCAGTTTACCATATGTTTGGTAATGAAATATTTTCCAGAAAACAAACCCCCAGTAAACACCAAGATCCAACATTTCAAACCCTGAACTATGCGTGTTATCCCTTACTGACACCCCATTTAAAACAGGAAAGGATGTGCATTAAGTTTGTTAAGAGAAGCATGATGTTGCGTATCCAATGTGCCTTAAAACCTGAGACTTTAACATTATCTTTTGTGTAGTCTGTTTAAGTTTAATCTTCTGCTGCCTAAAAGTTTAAGTTTAATCTTCTACTGCTAAGCGATTATATAATAATGACAGACATTCCAGATTTTCCCCTTATTCTGTTAGACTTGTAGATGCAATTTCTCGTTAATTGATAGGCAGACTTTCATTGAACAAACAGAGACTCTGATCACCATAAACAGCATGAATTCATTAGATCAGTGGCCCACAACCTTTTGGGCACTAGGGACCGGTTCCGCGGAGAGAGGATTTCCCATGGACCAAAGGGGGCGTAATTTTGTGTGCTCCGTGCATCCCACGAATGGGGCTTCACTTGTTTGTGTGGGCCAGTTTCTGGCATGCCATGAACCGCTGCCGGTCCATGGATTAGGGCAGGTGTAGGCAACCTTAAAGAGCCACAAAAGTTCTAACTGGAAGTCCCGCATTCAGTTCTGGTGCCAGCCGGAAGTCCAGTTGCCCCATCATAGTGTGTCCTCCTAGCGCTGAGTCCTTTTTCCTCTACCCGTCCTAATCGAAAGCACTATCAATTGTGGAGCCAACTGTTGACAGGGAGCTGCAGCAGAGAGATGAAAGAGCCACATGCAGCTCTGGAGCCGCAGGTTGCTGACCCCTGGACTAGGGGCTGGGGACCCCAGAGAGAGAGAGAGAGAGAGAGAGAGAGAGAGAGACAGACAGACAGACAGACAGACAGACAGACAGACAGAGATATAGAGAGATAGATATAGATAGATAGAGATAGATAGATAGATAGATAGAGATAGATAGATAGATAGATAGAGATAGATAGATAGATAGATAGATAGATAGATAGATAAAGATAGATACATAGATAGATAGAGAT